CAGCACACCTGGTACTTTTTTTTTAATTGCAATAACAGAGATGACGATACTTTATATACTTGCAGGAGACATTAGTTTTGAAGAAATACTTACTATTATTTGTTTACAAAAAACTTAGCATGGAAAGGTAAATTTGGGTGCAAATGGCTGTTATTTTTAAAGCCCTGTCATTACTATTAAAATCTAAACTGGTGTTTATTATTTTTAAATACTGCACCACAGAATTGCTAACATCGATTAGCGTGTTTTCACTAGGACTACATTTTGTGCCCAAAAATGTATTCACATATCTGTTTCTGCAGCTCATTTTTCATTATTAGTACAGCAGCATAAGTATGCATCTAAGGAAATACAGACACAATCTCTGTGCAGCGAAGCTAATAATTCAAGGGTTGCTCCTGCAAAATTTACACAAAGTACAGTCCAACCCTGCTGTGAAAAGGTTTTCACTGCATGAGTGGGACAAATCATGTTATACTGCTGTTTGGAGACAAAACCAGCTGGTGATGACAGCAGAAAAATTACAGGTGGGTAATTACTGGTATTGATAGGGTATTTTCCGGTATGTATATGTGTTTGATAATTTTTTTTACCTTTTTTTTTTAAAGTGGAAGATAGACTTTTAGAAAAAATATTTTAAAAGTTAGATTCCATTTTTCTCTTTGGATGTGTGGTTTGATTATCCTGAATTCTCTCATTTCTTCTCTCTCGGTTGTATTTGAATTTCCCACGGGCTATCAATTTGGCCTAATGTAGCTACATAATACTGTGCTTTCAAGAAATACATGTGAAAAAGAAAAACGTAAAATTCTTCAGATAGCAGATACTTGTGAAAATTCATCAAAAAAGGGTTTTGATTGAATACTTTGATGTGTTCTGGAGATAGAAGTGTGTCTGTATGATACACTTTTTTCTGTGTATTCTGCCTGCCTATACATATATTAACATTGGAGGATGGGGATAGGGCAGGAGAGAGAAGTTGGTTTCTAAGGCCAATGTAGGACCAGACATGAACCTGTACATGACTTTGAAACAGATGTCGGAGTTGGCGGACAAGCGAAAAATTACTGTTGAGGAGACGGGAGATGAAAGCAACTAGTAGAATACTTCTAGTAAGCAAGAGATGATGGGATGAAACCAAAACAAAACCAGTAAAAATCAAGCATATGTTTAATTTAATCCTTCATCCCATTCCCCCTAGACGTACAGAGGGCCCTAATTTCTGGCTCCCTGAGCTGCTGGGATGGTTAATCAGTGAATATGCATGGAATAATCTTTCCATTTACCCTTCCTTTCGTTTGTCTCATCAGATGTTTTCAGAATGGAGGGGTATGAATTAAACATATGCAGTGGGAGGTGACTTGATGGTAGAATGAAAGAGAAGTGGTTTGTAAACCACTTCCAGCCCCATGAAGTTGCAAAACACATCCCACTGTCTTTGGGAGGCTCTGAATCAGACCCTGCTGGCTGAGAAAAGTAGGCAGAACAAGAACCCCAAATGAAAAGGGTTTTGATTTGGCAAGAGTTCATAATGTGGGGAAGGAGAGCTGTAACGCTTCATAAAGGTTGTCTTAGAACAACAAAAAATGTCGCTATTTTACATCTTTTTGTTAGTGTAGTAGCTCAGATCAACTAGAGGAAGTGAAAGAAGCTGAAATAGTTATGCTTCCCAGCTGGTCAGACGGATCTCGTCTGGATGAATGTGGATTTCATAATACATTTAACTTGGCACCCTGGGATTTTTTTCTCTGCTTGAAATGTTTTTTTAATGAGAAGTTGCATTTTAGAGGCATAACCTTATGTAAACACTAGCCAGGAGAATTTGATATTTAACTTATTTTGCTGGAGAGAAGAGCCTCTCCAGGTACTATACTTTTATTAAACCCAGAAAATGAAATTCATCAATGTTTGAGAACTCAAGCCTGGATTGTGAACTATGAGGGTTTTTTGTCTTAGTAGGTTCAGTTATGCTCAGCACAAAAAGCCTTAGCGAAACCCCTCTGAGCATCTGGATTAAATGAATCTGAATTCACAGTTGTTTAAGGTTGACCTGGTAGATGTCCAACAGCTGTCTTTATGTTGTTTGTGGTACACAATTGCACTCTCCAACAAGCAAACAAGCAAACTCCCTGTATTGCCAAGCAATTAATTCATGCACCACTTCTATCTGAATGGTGAAATGCTTCCAGACTGTGAGTATTGATAATTAATGCAGATCATACAGTTGCATGAATCTGAATTTCATTCACTGGCATGAAATGTTCAAATACAAGTCAGGAAAAGCCCAATTACTCATCCATCAGTAATTCTTAATTCTGATGTATCAGCAATACAGGTTACTGATCATCTTCACTTTTCATATCGGTGCCTATATAAGAGTACTAGCACCACCAAAAGTGTTTTGATTCTTTTGGACACTATGTAATTTTGGTGTATCAAGAAAATCTGAAGATGAGGTTGCTTTTTAAGTCCTTATCTGAAATTATGAATATGCCTAAGTAACTTGCCCAACTAGTCATACGTTTAAAATACCATGCTGAACTAGTACTTTAGTACTTCATTATAATAGATTTATAAGAATCTTATTTTTGTCCGTTTTTGTTTATATATTGCATTATGCACTCAGCATTCATAATGGACTAAATAGGTCGGACTGGATGACCTGAGGTCCCTTCCCACCTCAGGTATTCTGTGATTCTGTGATTTATACTGTCTGTGAAACAATGATGCTCTGGTTCATGGTATATAATGCTACCCAAACAATACCTAGTGCCACCAGGCAACCCAGGAAGAAACAGCTGAAAGCGCACTCATGAATGAAAGGTATCATGCATTACAAAGGGTTTTAGTTTCAAGTATGCTATTTCTTTTCCTTTTCCAACCCAGTACGATGTTTTAATGATTCCTTTGAGTCTTCAGCACCGCTTTCTTGATATGGCCGGACAGCGTAGATGCAGAGCAACAAACAGTCAGTGTGTAAAAGTTGTTTCTAAAGCTGTGTTCATACCGCTCATTTTCTCAATTTTTCTGGTGTCTGATTCTGAACTCTGCTAAATCCAGTTTTCATTTCAGATTCTTCTCAGAAAGCTAGTTTGTTTTATTGTCTTTCTCTCATCAGATGTCTTTTGGGAGGAAAAGACCTGTTTGTTAAGCACGTGAAGGCAAAGAGAAGAGTTATTAATAAAATCTTTTGTGCTATTTCCAAACAGGGACGAAGAGGCTTAGGTTCAGTCTTTGTTTGGGCATCCGGAAACGGTGGAAGAAGTCGAGACCACTGCTCCTGTGATGGCTACACCAATAGCATCTACACTATCTCCATAAGCAGCACAGCTGAAAGTGGGAAGAAGCCATGGTATCTAGAAGAATGTGCATCCACACTAGCTACAACGTACAGCAGCGGGGAATCCTACGACAGGAAAATAGTAAGGGTTTTAATTTTTTTATATATATGGGTTTGTGTTTTGCATAGTGACTTTGTGGGGAGAGAGAGAAAGCTCATTTATACTAATTAATGGACTGCTTTAGGAAAAAAATCATATGTGGGCAAGTTCATTTAGCCCCAGAGTGTTACTTGCTTGGAGTCACCATACTGCTCTTTGAAAACAGCATGGACATCTCTGCATGTTGCAGACCAATGCAGTGCAGGTATACCCAGTTCACAGAGGTTTTTCCTCCTAGTTGCTGCCATCTCTCAGTGACACTTTCAAAGATCCTATTGCCACTGCCACTGAAACAGATTTCTTTCATTACCAATATTTTGTAGCCTATCAGTAGGCTTGACAACATATTCTCCTTTTGTTTTTAATCCAGTTATCAGTAGTTTTCATATTTTACACTCATGACTTGAGCAATTTTCCTGCATACCTCTCTATTTTCTCAGATTTATTTTGATCCAGCATCATTCCTCTTTTACTTTCAGTGATGGTCAGTTACTACTCATATTACTCCCTATTCTGGCTAGCTGATATATTGTAAGCAAGATGAAAGTCAACATTCATCTTTCCTATATTGTTCCTCATCTCATTCCTAGACAACCGTTATCCATTTTCCATTATGTTCTCATCTTAGCTGGAAACTGACAAATTGTTTTAATTCTGTTTGGTAATCTGTTGATACCATTAGTATTTGTACACTATATCTACTTTTTCAAATTGAGTGCATTCAATATACTTTTCAATATTCAATATACTACTCCTTTCAACCTTTTAAACCTTTGAACTAGGATTAATCAGGTTTTTCAATATTGTCCTCTTCCCAGCTTATTTATTCTAGTGTATAACTTGCAGATCTTAATTTCTTCCTGATCAGAAAATTTAGGGATTTTGTGGGGTTTTTTCCCATGTTTTCTTAAGCACCCATCTAACTTTACCTTCTTTCTGGTCCTTAGTAGATACCTCTTTTGGTCCCAGTGAAGAGTTAAAAATGCTTGCAGCTATGTTTTTTAGTAGTGTCTGCCTTGTCTGTCAGGAGTCTGGGATGCTGGCCATCCCTTCTTGGATCCTCTTTTATTTTCAGATGATCTAATTTTTGTTTTAAACTTGTTTTGAGGTACTTCGTTCCAGTAATTTTTCTGTTCTTAACTTGCTTCTCTCTACTGAAACCTTATCTCTCTTCCTGGCATGTTTCTTGTTCTCCCTGATAAATAATAATAAGAAAAGAAATTACTCTGTCTCCTAGCAGTCCTCACTTCTGTGACTAAATTCCCTCTACTGTCCTTTAAAAGACCTTCACTAACTTCTTCATGTTTAAGTGAGAGACTAATACAATATGAGGTGAGCAGAGGCAATTGTGGTTCCCCAGCCTGACCTCTTGCTTAGCTGAGTCTGTAGGACTGCCTTGAGTCTTTCAAATCTACCAGTTGCTGTCAACTCGACAATAATTTTTTATAAATACAATCAGTCTTGCTTTCAAAGTTTCCAGTGACAGAAACTCTACTTAAATTTAGGGCAAGTGGTTTTAATTACCCATTGCCATTAAAAAATTTCTTATTTGCTATCTGAGCTCCTCTAGCTTCAATTTCGCAGCATTTGGTTGTGTCACAGATTTCATTGCTAGTATGAAGAGCACTCTAGCTGTCTAACATCTTTCTCTCTGCCCATGTAGCCTGATCGATAAATCCCTTTTGACAAATGAAGGTAAGCTGCTTGCATCATTCTGTGTAAGGCATGTTTTCTTATAAACACTCTCCCATTCTATAAGCTTTGAGCACTCAAACTGGACACAGCAGTCAGGTAGTAGCAGTATCAGTGCCAAATGCACAGGAAAATGTGTATCTGTGAGAGCCAGCTTAGTTACCCTCTCTACACATGGAGCCTGACTGAGAGTTGTTAGCTTCACTGTCATGTAATGTGTTCACCCTTGTGTGACGCTCAACCAGCTTTCAGACCTTCTCCTTCTCTTTTTCAGAGTTGGTGGTCCAGGGACAGGTATGAGGGTGTTTATGGTCTCTTTATTGCACCATTTACCACTGTCTGTACTGGTTTAGTACTCAATCCAGACCAGCCCTCATCATCACTTTCTCTTTCTCCAATGTTTTTCCAAGTGCAACATTCATCAGAAGGTGCTGATGTTTTCTTCCAGATCTTTGATAAAAGCTCTAGGTCATATTAAGGCCAAGAAACAAACTGTAGAAGGCCTGATTAGAAACAAGGCTCATTTCTTATATATGCTATAAGCCCATGCATATTTCTCTGCTTCTAAGTATATATCTGTTTTCTTATGTATGCTTACAGTTTGAGACCTTGTAATTATCCCCTTTTAAATCTACGCATTATGTATCACATACATTTTTAATCTCTTAAATTTAAGGGTTGGTTTTTTTTTTATAATGTGCAGTATCACATTATGTGTCTTGTAGAATCCTAACTATACTACTTTCCACCAAAGTGGTGGCTAGAAAAAAAGTACTGCAGCACTTTGGCAAGCTCTCTTTTCCAGCAGCTTATGTTATCCACCATTAAATATACTACTAGTTAATTAATTTATTAATAATTAGTTTAGATCCTGTGTCAGCTGTTTTACACTAGATAAAAACTTGGCAAATAGATGAAATTATTAGGGCAATACTGCTTACCCTTTCAAAATATTGACACTATGCAGATTTTCTTTCGATCTTCTGGAACTACTCCAGTTTTCAGAGGCTTGCTAAAATCAACAGTACATTGTAACATGTTCCCTGTCCAGCTCTTGTAAAAGTCTTTGCTGCTTCCAAACTTTCTGATTTGAACCTGCTATTTAAAATAGCTATAAATAGGAAGATGATTTATCATCTTTGTATGCTCTGAAAACTTCATCTAGATATTTTTTTCCAAAAAGGAACATTCTGTGAAACAGCTGTTTGCTATACACTGCTATTAACTATTTTATTATTTCTGGACAATTAAAACCATATTGGTTTGGGGGTTCTTTTACTTCTGTTATATTTGAAAATAAAACATCCTTATATTTTATTCTGTTCTTGTAGGATTCACCATTTAACCTTTGTCTTTCCTTACCACCTCTGTTCACCTTCTATCTTCTAATTTTTGTTCATTGATATCCACTTCCTCTTTTATTCACTTTTATTTATTTATTTATTACTTCTTGCACCTGTCTATTCTTGTTTCGTTGACCAGTATATCCTTGCTCATTTTTTAAAAATCTAGTAAGATAACAGTATGTTTCTCAATTCTTATTTGTAGTTTTCTACTTAGCTGATTTAATCTTTGTGCATTCCTCTGATTTTTTAATAGCTGTAGATTTCTTGATGATTGTCATCTTTTCAATTAGCAGGGACTTTCTGCTCTTACAGAATTACTATTTCAATGAGACCATTGCTTATTTCTGACATGTCACTCCTTTATGACTTTCGCTAGAATCAAAAAAACCTGGAGATGATCTCACCTTTTTTGTTAAAGACTTTCTTATGAACAAGAATAGATATTTTTTTAGTTTACTGACGTATAGTACCCATCACTTCTAGAATTTATGCACCATGCTAATACTTGCAGTTTTATATTTTATTGTGAGATTTTTGAAAGGCATACTTTACAAATTAAGATCAATTATTATATATAGAATGAACATTCATTATCCCATAATTAGGGAAATAATGATAAGGTTTTACATATACATTATTGAAAAGATTCAAAGATACGCCTCTTTAGAAATGTCCTTAATTTGGAGTCTCCATTGGAGATCTCACATAGACTATCAGAGATAAGTAAAAATAACTTTTAATTGAAATCCATCAATTCGGTAAGCACTGATTGCTTTTACTAGTCAGATCCTCCATTCTTCCGTGAGCAATCCAGTTGCATATACCAATTTTAGATTATTTCTTCAGAGTGCATAATTTTGCAGAGTGAATGGTAAAAGCATATGCGTACTGAGAAACCGTAAGAATTAACCCAAGTCTGTTGATCCTTTGTTTCCCAGAACTTAATTTACCCTTGCACTCTTGTGCAAAGCAACGTTGATGTCATGTGTACCATCAGATTCACTGATCTCAAATGCTTGAATATCAGACCATAAATATTTCCTCCAAGACTTTTTTTCCTGTACTATATTATCAGTTGACTCCTGAAACACACAACCTACTTGGTTTAGGTAGTAGTTTACTTTACTACTAAGCCTTTACAAGTAAACTTGGTGTTTACTACTGGTGCCAGGCAAGCCTCTTCCCCCTCCAGGCACCGTCAGTGAGGAAGCAGAACAGTGTACGGTAGATGCAGTCAGTAGCTTTCTGTTTGTGTTGCCTGTAAACCAGTTATCCCCATTAGAGGCAACAACTATGGGCTTCTGTTATGCTACCAACTGGTGAGAAATGACAAGAAATTGTGAAGCCAGCTTTTGAAACTGAGTATTAAGCAGTCCTTTCAACACACACAGAGACAGGTACGTTGCTCTCAACTGTGGGGCTCTCAATATAGCCTCATTTTGAGAGCAATAATGATAGAATCACTATACTCTTCTCCAACTTGTCTACTAACATCCAGTCCTCCTAAAGACCTATCAAACATCATTTACCTTGGAAAGGAGTGTTGTTTGAAACAAAACCTGAAGACAGAACTGAAAATGTTGAGGACAAAATTTTTCAACTGCTATAAAATGCTGAAAGAATCTAGAATAAAGAAGATGTGTATTTGTTTTCATTGTTGTACCACACATCCTTTTTACTGCCTCATATCTCACATTTTTCTTTAGACTGCTACTCCTTTCGAGTCAGAGATTGTCTTTATATCTTTCCACAAAAAGCTTAGAGCTTGCCTGTAAGCTTAAAGGTTATTTTAAAAGTTATTTTAAGAAAAATAACAACAGAAAAAGAGAAAGATTATTATTAAATTTAAACACTCCAAGTTCTCCTATGCATGTAGATTTTTATGCAATATACAAATTAGCTATGAAGGGCTCAACTCTGTGCCATAACATGAAAAGAGAGCAA